GGGTTGGAGACAAGACAAAGTGATATCACATGAGTGAATGGAAGTTGTCCATATGGGAGTTGTCAAGTGTTCTTGTGCTGATGTGGACTGCAATTTAAGAAAGATCTGTTGACCAAACAACCTAAGTTTTTGTATTTTTCAAAATGAGTTTTCCACTCATAGAAAAAAAATTATGTGGTTGCCAGGAATCAAAAACAATTTGATGGCACATAGCCAATCCACCAATTCTGTAACTTTGGCATTTTAGCGGGGATAAACAACTTCCAAACATCATGCATGGACTGGGAAAACCAGCACTTGAGTATTGAAAAAAAAAAAGAAAAGAAAAGAAAAGCCAAACAGAAATACAGAGATGGGGGAAGAGATATGGATAAAAGCACAGAAAGCCAAGAAAGTGAAAGCAGGAGGCAAGTAGGAGACTAGAGTTGGGCAGGGGAAGAAATGCAGTATTTGAGATGACAAAATGACAGCAAAGCTGAGAGCAGGAAAAAAGTGACCGAGAAACATTTTATGGAATGGATGGAAAGTTCAGCAGTTGGAAAGGGACAGAAGGTAAATAAAAAACTTTGGGGGTTGTGAGAGTGTTGAGCATAACTGAGAATGAACATGGCTACTCACTTCTTTTTCAATGTTGTATTCTCATCTTATTATTTATTGATTTGTTTATCTTCCTCATCTTGGATGCTGCCCTACTCCAACTGGGTGACACAGAGCAAAAAAAAGAAACAACAAAGACACAAAAACATATAACAATAGCACTAACCAGATAAGAGGAGAACTAGCTAAGGAGACAAACCTATTATATCCACCAGAGTCTCAAATCAATCTAGCTCAGGGCTGTCAAACTTGTGTCGTCACATTGTCGTCACTCACGTGACATATTACGGCTTTTCCCACTTTGTTAAACCGGTGGAAGGCATGACCAGTGTGTGACGCATCTGGCCTGTGGGCTGCGAGTTTGACACTCCTGCTCTAGCTCCACACCTGGTGCAAGGTATTCAAGGCCTTCTGGAATGACCTTTAAAGTCCTTATTTTACAGAGGCCTGGGAGAAACCAAGGAGAGCCTGTCGTCTCTCATGAACATTAAACCTGAGACTCCAGGGATTTCTGATTGGTGAATGTGGTTTGCACTCCAGTTTCCCACACCCAACCCTCTCAAGGAATTGTGGATCAGCAGCCCAAATGAAGTCAAAGACACTGACACACGACTAAAAATATATATTTATATAAATATATTTTATCATTTATATTTACAGCAGACAAGATAGTCAGGAACACATGAACATCATGAGGTAAATCGGACAGCACACAGAACACACAGAAGAAAGGTGGGAGAAAAGGGAAACTCATCCTTTAACCCCCCACAGCAACCAAACACAGCATAGATTGCCTCATGCATGAGCCAGCACTTTCCAACCAATCAACTACAACTGTGTGTGTTTCTGGCCATTGTGTATTTTACTGCTCTCAGCTGTTTATTATGATATTAAATTCAATATCCTATATACAAACGCTAACTTATTATACCCTCCATTGCCTTACTAATAGTGAGACAAGCTGATCACGTTTTCCTGGCCATTGCAGAACCAAGAGAGCCATTAATTTATGAGTTGCATTCTTATAGCTCACTTTAGAAATGCTGAATAGGTTTTGAGGATGCAAGGCTAATGAACTGTCTCTAGACTAGCTCTACATGTTCCACCTCCTTATGCAGTTACATCCATCCATCCATTTAAGAACATAGCAATATAAAAGGAATGCAGGTGCATCAGAACAATCACCTACTTCCTGAGATCTTTCAGGAAGTCCAGCATGTACCTTTCTTTTATCTGTCTTGAATCTGCTATCGATCAATTTCACATGAGGATCCCAAGACACACTTATTATGATCAAGGGAGCGTGCAGTGTCCCTCCACATTTCCTCTCTCACATCCTGTACCAAGCACATTGGGTTACAAGAGTCCTCCACAGTTCTTGGTCCACAGCTACAGTCTCTGCATCCTTCCATTTAAAGTTTCAGATCTTCCTAAAATATTTGGCCCCAGGTTTTCTTTGGCCTTCTTCTTTTTCTCCACTTCATCCAATTAATTGTGATCTTTGCTGGGCATTGTTCACCCACACAGAGCCCATTTCACATCCTGATTATTTTAGTAAACTTTTATATCTAATTTGAAATCACTCACAATCTTGCCTCCTTGAATGCTAATGGAGAAAACTGGGCTGTTAAACCTGCATGTACAAATAGAAGAGATTATTTGTAGCTCAGTGTTGTGGTCCGTAGAGCTCTCGGAGCTTGGGTGCTTTTCTTACAGATGTTTCATTAACAAACTAACATCTTCAGTCCTAAAGGTTGTGGGCCTTGTTCTTGCTTTTTATAAATTAGTGGATTGCCCTGTCAGTGTTGGGGTGTGTGGTCTTAAGGGTTCCTTCTTTAGGCTGTTGTTTACAGTTAGTTTCTCTTAATTGATAGTTCCTTGTTTAGGATGTCAGAAGAAATGTCCATCTGGTTCAGTTCCAAGTGGGGAGAGACATTGGAAACATGGAGGCTGATTGGAAAGATGGTTTATTGGTGAACAGGACCACATGTGTTTTAGGTCCTGGACAGCTGAGCATATGGAGGAGAGAGAGAGGTATTTATACCCTCTCTTGGGCCTTGCCCTTGAGCTTCCTGTTCCTGTGGAAGAAATGTATTCTATTGGTTGTCAGACACCCAGGGTGCTATGTAGGGATCATAGCTAACATTTTAGGTTGTCTGAATTAAGTTTGATTGAAGCTTGCTGGGTGATACAATGAAGGGGCTGTTTGTGCCATGGGGTGAGCTCTGCTGATAGATAATCCTATTATGTCCTGGAGGGTCATGCCTTAATCCCATCACCCTGGAGCTGGAGGTCTAATTGTCTTGTAGATAGGCTGGCCTAGTCCTGCTCAATGGGCCAAATATCTGCTGGGGGCAGGGAGCTGATTCTACATATTTTATAAAATATAAACATGTTTGTTTGAATATTAGCTCCAGTCACAGTAGGTTGCTTTTGAGACTGGAATTTGCAAAATTAGGCCTGGAAGTTCGATGGTGGTCTCTATTTGAAGAAGGAATAGAAATGAAAGATGACTTAGCATGTTTAAGGCTTTGCTTTGTGTTCTCTGTGGGATTTAATTTAGGACTTTGGCAAGGCCTGTAAGAAACATTCTGCATTCTTAGTGTAAATATGGCACCTCCCTCTGTTATTGAGTTAGCAAGTCGTTACATCATAGAATAAGACTCTCGTTCCATTTTTAAGGGTGTTAGTAAAATGGTTTCAGTAGCATCATTTAAGAATAAGGTAAGACAAAAACAATGTTATCTATTATACTTTAGGATGCTTAAAAGTTAAGAGTAAATGTAAAAGAGTAAATGTAAAAGAGTAAAAGACTAAATGTAAGGCAACCTTGCATTGCTCAAATGAGTTTTGGTCAATAGCTTCAGTTGAGGCCATGAATTGTAATTCAATGTGCAATGCTATCCCAAGGATGCAGATGTTTCGAAAAGGGAATACAGATTGACACACGGAGTGGTGCGGTGGCCTAGAGGTGACGTTCTTGCCTCACAATCAGGAGGCTGTGAGATCAATTCTAGATATAGGCAAATATTTCTCTCTCTGGGCAGCATGAGAACATATCTGCTGAGCAAAAACCCCGCATTGGCAACAGGAAGGGCATCCGGCTATTAAACATTCTACTAGCTCCATTCAGTTGCGGTCATTCATTATGGGGTCATTAAAAGATGATGATGAACACAGATTGATGCATCCTGGGGCATGTTTTGCTAATCTCAGAGGCTCCATTCTCTGTATTCAGACTTGGAAGATCAAGATATGCAGGTATAAATTGGGAAACTTGTAAGCAAACTGAATTTGTGATATTAAGTAACATTCCCTCTGATCATGACTATACATACTGTATTGATTAGCAGAAGAAATTTATTGCTACCCATCTTCGTATTGAGTTCCCTCTCCATAGAAGCCTAGGTGCACAGGTTCCATAGATGCTTCTGAAAGCACCAGACTTCCCAGTCTGCTGACTGAACGTTTGCAATGGATTACCCTGCTGAATTTTCACTGTAACTTGGATCTTCTTGTACGTATTCTTCAAATGTTCCATACTAGATACAGAAGAGGGAAATTTCCTTTCTTTGTGCCAGTAATGTAAATGATTTGAATAGAATACACTATCTATATCTGGCCCATTTGAAGACCACCCCATCTGAAGCCTTCCTTTCTGGGAGAAGATAGTAGGAAGGCAGTTACAAGGCACTGGAGAAACAGCATGTTTTTGGCAGGGTCCCCTTCAGTCAGGATTTAAACCCAGGCCTGGGAGAGAAACAACTTTGGTTTTATAGTTGATATTATTTGCCAGGACTTTGTTTGTGTAATTCCCATCTGCTAGTACTGTTCAGTAGTTTGTATACTATTAATCCTGTTATTCTTTAGATTATCTGCAAAATTTGAGGACTGTTTTACTGTAGTTTAACTCCTTTCTTAGGCAGTTGCAGTCAGAGGGGAATTGATCAATGCCCTGCACAGGTTACCTGTAATTTTCTGAATGGAAATCCAAGGGCTGGTTTTGTCTAATAAAGACCCACGTGGTTGACACTATTTTCAGAACCACCTTCTCCAACCCGGATTGACATCTCCGATACATAGATCATAATCAGAGTAATCCCAGATTTCTATAAAATAAACGGGACTGAAGGGAGATTAGGAGATTATGTCTTTCCATCACAGCACCAATCTTAGGGAAATCCCAATCCCTTTGGAGAGAAGATGGCTTCTAACTCATCCTTTCAGAAAGTGGTAAAACTGAGTTTTTCCATTCTTAAATGGCACCTTGCTATTAAATTACAAGTTAATTTAATTATTAAATTGTTGTTCGGGAATTGTCATAGAATTGCTGTTTTTCAGAAAACTGTTTTTAAGATAGTGAATTGTACAGTGTTTCTTTGTTTACCATGGCTTATTAATGATATTTATGTTTTTTTTTTTCCTTTTGTACATAGCAAGGTGGAATGACATGGAGAACATACACATCTGAAAAATAAATGACACTCTTAAATCTCATTTTATTTTATTTCATTTCATTTATTAGATTTTTTTGCTGCTCATCTTGTTTTGAACATTTGCATTCTTGTAACAAGTATTCAGGTACATCCAGGTTATTTGTCATTCTCTATGCAGTAGTATATTGACAGCGAAGGCCATGAATTTTAATCACGTGGACAGATGGTGCTGCAATCCTTACCGGCGACACGATTCAGGTTCATTTTGTCTATAAGACTTACTTCATTCCATGGTTTTGCTAAGTGGCACTTATTGATTTGAGGACCAATGTCATCAATCAACCCTTTTGAAATAGAAAAGATAAATAACAGTGGTGTCAATATGTAACTGATAAGATTTGTTCACAGTAACTTGTCAAAAGTCCTTGACAATTTTCTTTCATTTGCTCCACTTTTTAAGTAGGGAATGATGTCAGTTCCAAACAAGCCAACTTTATCCTTTTCTCAACATTTATTATTTAATTAGTGCATGGCATACAATGTCAGTTAAATCTATGAATTGGGTAGACCCAATGCAGTCCCGACAGCCTAGATTGCTACCAATAGTTCATTCTGTTCAATGCTATGAATGCAATTTTCCCACTGAAATGGTTCCCATTGATCTACTTATAATATTGTCCGCTTTTGAACTACTGGGTAGACAAGAGCTAGGGATCTAGTGATGAGATCTCACTCTGTCTGATGGAGCTCGGCTGAAACCACTGGAGTACAGACCATTTCCTGCCAGCAGTTCCAGTGTTATGAAGCCACTGCACCACTGCATCCCCTTTCCTCGACAAATCAGTAATCTTTTAAAGCAAGCTTCATATCTCTGTGGGAACTGACAATGCCTCACTGACACTGGCTTATCCCTCCAAAAATGGGATGAAAAGTGACCAAGAAATAATATAGACTAGATTAGGAATAATGATAATGATGAAAATATTGGTTTGGAATGTGCCATCCTCTTTAATTTATATATGTATTAATTGTTCTGTTACTAGATAATTGGTGTTCACTACCTGAAATTAAGTAGTCATCTCCTCTGAGAGGGCCTCTGTGTTGATATCCACAGTAATACTCTTCTTCTGGGCTGTAAAGAACCCGTGCATTTCTTAAGTACATTGGACCTTTGAATACCTTCAGAAAAATAATAATTCTGTATATGATAAGGACAAGAACAGGTCAGAAGAATTTGTCATGAGAGGAACAATATCCCTTCACAAAAGACTGAATATCTGTCAACTTGCTCTTCATCATAAGTTTCAGGAAGATGAGAGGCTTACCTGGATGGGCTGAATACTAAACATATTTAGATGTATAGGAAACTCAGGATCCCGCCTGACACTCATAAATTGGACCCTCATCACTGCAGAGAGAGAGAAAGAGAGGGAGGAAGGGAGGGAGGGAGTTTTTCCAGTAAGAGGTTTAAACTGCAGATTTCTCAATACAAAGCCAACTAGATGGTGCTGGTTAGTCTTCTGCACAAAGGCTTGTGAAATAAATAATATGTTCAACTTTAATGCCATAGGAATGATTTTGCTGCAACTGGAAGGATTAATGCTGGCAGCAAAGCCTACAAAATAGATGAGTGGGGAATACTAAAAGATGGAAGGGAGAAAAGCATTCATTTTCAAAACTCACCGAAGTCATGTGTGCAACATGCATCCCGGAGAGATATTTCCCGACATGTGCTGCAGGCCTCTGTGAGATCTCCCAAGAACATGAGGACAAGGAAGCTGGCTAGGGAGAATCCATGTGATTTTGTAGTATCCATTTCTTGCTGTTTATGAAGCCACTCACTTAGGACAGAGGAGGTGTTTTCTTTAAGTAGCAGTCTTTCTGGAAGAGTGTTGAGTCCAGCTGTGGATTAAAGGGGAAATGGTGTTTGAAATGGTTCTAGAATTGGTTTTAGATCAGGACGATTCAATTCCTGAAATATAAGGATGGATCATGGGTGCTTCATCCTGTGGGACAAAGTGAGATTTAAAGCTTTGTCCCTGTGGGAATCACTCTCCTCAGAACCAAAGCCTTAGCAGAGCCCGAACACCATGTCTGAGCTTTTTTCTTTCTTTTTTCTTTCTTTCTTTCTTTCTTTCTTTCTTTCTTTCTTTCTTTCTTTCTTTCTTTCTTTCTTTCTTTCTTTCTTTCTCTTTCTCTCTCTCTCTCTCTCTCTCTCTCTCTCTCTCTCTCTCTCTCTCTTTCTTTCTTTCTTTCTTTCTTTTAATGTCCCGATCAAACCTTAAACTGCCAAAATTAGGCCACCTTTTCTGTTTTATCATTGGCCAGGGACAAATAACTTTTGGGGCACTCTAATTGGTAGTAATTGACAGTCCAACAAGTGGGCCAGGCTCTCATCCTGACATTCACACTGCATGTTGTTATCCTGCAGCAACCCCCACTTGAGGATATTGGCCTCATATTTAGGCACTCCCACCCTCTGCCTATTCAACGTCCTCCAAGTAACATAGGGGAGATCAAATCCCTCAGCCACATTCTCTTCTGGGATTATTTCTTGTTCTGTAAATTCTCTCCTCCATCTTCTAATTCATTTTAGGTCTTGCGGGCCTTCAAGACTATTTCTTTGTTCCATAAAACTCTGACTGGATCTAAGTTGATGTGTTTGGGGCTCCTGTCCATTCAGAGGAAGCTGGGGATCACTCTGTTGTTTGGTTCTCTCAACACCTGCTGCTACTACTCTCTTAATCCTAGGTGAAGCAATCCCAACAACACTTTCTCAACTGGTGTGGGTTTAAGGCATCTTGTCATGATGCATACTGCTTCATTGACAGCAATGTCAACTTGCTCTATGAGTGTGGATGGGCTCCATAGGAGAGCCAATTTGATGCTGTGGGCAAGGCACTGGGTTAAAAGTGCCTTGCCCATCATCAAACCCCGTTGCTGAAATACACAGGGCCAAAACCGATGTCTGCAGAGTGGGTGGCTGAGCACCGCATATTTTATATAATTTGTCAGTTTTCTGATAATCTTATTCCTCGTGCTGATTTTAGCCTTAGTATTCAGGCAATGTTGTTTAAATGAAAATGTCCTATCAAGACTCATACCAAGCTACTTCGGTGTAGTCCAATGCTGTATTCAATTATCTTGCCATGCAACTCAACCCCTGCACCTCAATTTCAGGGATGAACAACACACACTTGGGTCTTGCATGGACTGAGCTGCAGATGATTGACAGTGTATAACACCATCCTAATTTTTCAAGTGCTACAGTGAGTCTTCCACCTAACTCATTGAAACCTGATCCTTCCATGGCCACTGCTATATCATCTGCATAAATAAGTAATCTTCTATTGTCAGAGACCTGTTGATTATTTGTATATGCTGTATGTGATACATCAGAAACAATACACTTCCTTTCCTAGGCTTAACTAGAAGTTTTTAACCTACAGCCTTGCCCACTATACCAAACGGTCTCTCCTAGAGAGTTGGCTTCAAAAGAAATGGGCTCTTTTTTCCTCACCGTATTCTCTGTTACTCCTGGGTTCTTCTCCAGAGACAAACTTTGTTCCCCAGCATATTGTGCTGCTATTTAAAGCTTCCCCTCACTCCTTTCCCCCAAATTTCCTCTTGCGTTAATGTTTGTACTTGTCATTCAAACTAGCCACATTTCTTAAAGAACTGGCAGCATAATATGTTCCCATTTGGTTTGCTGAATAGATTAGATTTCTGGAAGACAGGTTTGGACACAGCGTATCTTACATTAATGTAATGTTAACACTGACCATAAAAATCAGCCATTTGTGTTTCTAGACTCTTCACGGTCTAATGGGGGGGGGGGTGAGAAATAAATACCTCTCCTGGAGAGAAGTTCCCTAAGTCTGAAAACTCTGAAGACTAAACCTTTGGTCCCAGTGACTGACCCAGATTGGATCTTGAAACATTATCACGGGACACATGTATTCTCCTTCATTCAAAAAAGTAACTATCTAAGACTTTAGCAAACTTCAGGACATAGAGATCATGTCTGCTAAACCTATTGGTTTATTAATAGATGAGCAGTTACGCTTTAATCCCAAATCATATGACAAATGGAAGTTGTGGAATAACCAGATTTGAAAATAAAATATGTTTTGCTAGAAATCTTGGGCTAAGTAAGAGATCAAAATCAGTTGATTTCAAAAGTTTTAACACCTTGTGAGATTCTGTGTTGAATATTATCTACTCTCTTTGCTTGGCTATATATGCAGTTGAAACCTATGCATTGAACAGTGTGGCCCAGAACTTCTAACAGCCTCCTTGAATGTTAGGAGTCTTAAGAAATGCAGTGCTTGAACCAAGCATTCATTTTTATAAAAAATTAAAAATTAAAATGGAGTATTAATTATTTGAATTTGGTTAATGAGGAACTGGAATACCTAGTTTTGGAAAGTCAATGGTTTTCAGTGTTAAGAAATATCAATATATGCATGGCCTCAACATAACTAACTCCTCAGAAAGTATTATTTTTTGTTTATTGGTTCCCGTGAAAGAAAATTTAAAAAGAGATCGATGATCCATTTTTTTCCCACAGGTATAATAAATTAGGTAATTAATTCACTCTGGTTTCCTTAAAAAAAAAAAAGACTGCAGATAGGATAACTCACTGTAGGTACCAGATGGAGAGCTGGACAAGTGGGTGACTGAGCAAGCGGCTATCGGGGAGTGGGGGAGTGGTGGTGATGGGCAGGGAGCTGGATGGAGAGTCGGGCAGGAGAGCAAGTGAGTGGACTGTCAGAGGGCAGCCTTGGTAGATTGGCTCAAAGACTGAACTGTTAGTTTGGCTACAGAAAGGGATGGGGCGGAGGGCAGGGAGCAGTGGTGGGTTTCAAAATTTTTTACTACCGGTTTTGTGGGCATGGCTTGCTTGGTGGGCGTGGCTTGGTGGTCATGTGACTATGGGCATGGCTTGGTGGTCATGTGATTCGGAGGTCAATTGACTGGGTGGGCATGGCCAACTTGACAACACTCATATGAAGGGGTTGGATTAGGGTTAGGGTGCCTGGCCTCTCCTCGCCTCAAAGGCCTCAACGAGATACAATTTTCCTGTCTATTTATTTACTGAACATCCAAAATATACTATTTAATCCTATGTATATATGCCATATGTGTACATACACAGGGGTGGGATTCTACCTTGTGTATGTCTCTTGAACCGGTTGTTAACTTTGTAAGCAGTTCGGAGAACCGGTTGTTAGAAGAAAACTCCTTTTGTTTTTTTCCATTTTACAGGGTTAATCCTAGTGGTGAAATTGGAACCAGTTTACTACCGGTTCACTGGCTGCGCATGTTTGCTGCGTGCCAAATGCACACTGCGTGCGTGCATGTGCAGTGTGCACCACGCACAAAATGTGAGGTGCACACGTGCATGCACAGTGCACACCAAAAGAAGGCATGGGGTAAGTAGAACAGTGCGCGCAGGGGAGGGGGTGATCAGCTGTGGTGCGTGATCTTTTTTTTAACTTTTAAAAACATTTTTTACAACCTATTCGGGTAGGTTGTAAAAAAATGCTTTTAAAAGTAAAAAAAAAAGGCTCTGACGATCATGTAGCTCAGCTGTGATCATCAGAGCCTTTTTTTTTTTACTTTTGTGCCACAAAGCCCTCGAGGTGGCGGCAGGAGGGGGGAAAAGAAAAAAAAAGGCTCAGCCTCTGAAGCCTCTTGAAGGAGACGTCCTTGTGTGTGTGTGTGGCAGTGCTGTGAGAAGAGCCAGTCGAAGGGAGCCTGGGCAACCATGCTGGCTACAAAGCGATCAGCCCCTTTTCTTCTGCTGCCGCTGCTGCCGCCACTGCCGCCGTCACCTCTGCCTCTTCCTTCTCTCTGCTGTTGGGAAGACAATGCTTGTGGCAGATGGGAGGTGGCAGCTGCAGCTGATTTGGGATGGAAACACAGAGAAATGCCCGGCAAAACATACAGCCTTTTCCTCTCCGACTTCTGTTAGCAGAGAGAAGGAAGAGGCAGAGGCAGAGGCAGCAGCGGAAGGATAGAGGCTGATCGCTTCGCAGCTAGCATGGTTACCCAGGCTCCCTTTGCCTGGCTCGCCTCACAGTGCCGCCACACAAAGACACAAGGATGTCTCCTTTGAGAGGCTTCAGAGGCCAAGCCTTTTTTTTCTTTTCCCCCTCCTGCCGCCACCTCGAGGGCTTTGCGGCACAGAGGCTTCTTCCTCCATAGGCCGCGATAATGGGAGCAGCAGCAGGGCACATTAAATTCCACAATTAATAAGTGGAACAACTTGCCTGCAGAAGTTGTGAATACCCCAACACTGGAACTTTTTAAGAAGATGTTGGATAACCATTTGTCTGACCACCCCAACGATGCCCTTGAAGTGATGTCCCGGTGCCTGGAGGCCATACGGATCTGGATGGGGAGAAACAGGCTCAGGCTCAACCCATCCAAGACTGAGTGGCTGTGGTTTCCGACATCCTGATATAGTCAGCTGGTGCAATCGTTATTGGGGGCGAATCATTGGCCCCCACGGAAAGGGCTCGCAACTTGGGCATCCTCCTGGATTCACGGCTGTCTTTAGAAGAGCACTTGACAGCCGTGACCGGGAAGATTTTTCATCAGGTTCGCCTGATCCACCAGTTGCGTCCCCTTCTAGATTGGGACTCCCTACGCACAGTCACTCATGCCCTCGTCACCTCTAGTCTGGACTATTGTAACACTCTCTACATGGGGCTCCCCTTGAGGTGCACTCGGAGGCTCCAACTGGCACAGAGTGTGGCCGCGTGGGTGGTTATGGGAGCGACGTGGCGTTCCCATGTAACACCTCTCCTGCGTGAGCTGCACTGGCTCCGGGTGGTCTTCCGGGTGCGCTTCAAGGTTTTGGTTATCACCTTTAGAGCTCTCCGTGG